CAATGCAAAAGAGGACGCACCCATCGGTGTACAGGGTGAATGACTCTTGAATGAACTTAAGAATGATGTCGTAAAGCTCGTAAAGTTCTGGGAAAACGGTAATCTTCTGTCGATTTGACGGCTCAGCAGGGAATTTGAGAAGCAACACCTTCATGAGGGTACCACAGGCCCGCATCAGACGATATGTTGTAGAAAAACGTGAAAGTAGACTTATAATTGATTTACCGAAGTGCTTCACGTTGGACAACAGCGTCGAACTCTCCTATCAAACAGGAGTGCTTTAATTAGCACAAATCAAATCAACCTAATGTCTCCCAGGAGTTAGACGGACAGAAGGCTTACCAGAGTACTATAGACAACACGTAGCACCTCCAGAGTCATGAAGGTGCAAGATGAAAGCAGAGCATTCATATTTTGCTGCTGTTGTTGTTGAGATTGTTGTTGCGTCGTACTTGTCTGAGAGGAATTAGAGTCCTCAGGACAGAGGAAACGATCAATGAAGTTTAACCGAAGGTCACAGGTCTCACCACCCCATATGTCGGAAGACAGGGTGCTTTCAACTAGACTCAAAGCCTTTCTGGCCGAGGTTTCTGAGGAAATACCATTTGATGTGGCTTCCATCGCCTAAAAGCACAATCGCATAAGATTAAGTGTGGATGTCGTGCGCTTAGTAAATTGCTAGAATCAAGAGACTCGTAGTCTACCTGACACGCAAAACGGATCATGAGATTAGCCAATTGGTCACGGTGACTCTTTTCCATGGGCATAAGTTCTGGTCTGTCAGTCATCTGGAGAGCAAAAAAGCCAACAACAGAGTTGTTAGTATGGTTGGAGGTGAGGTAGCAACAACACAAAGCTGAAAGACTAAAATGCACCAAAGATGGAGATACAGGGCCACCGATAGACGAAGGACCTGCAGAAGAGGAAGCATTTTGGTTTGGTGATTGTTGTTCTTGCTGTTGCTCAAGAGCTGCACGCTCCGATTTGCATTTCATGTCCCATCGTACAGTCACATCGATAAGATCCAAAATCATACGGCGTTGATCAACCGGAATCTGTAAAAGTGAATGTAATGCTAAGTACAAGCATTCGAATATGAGCATGTGGATATAAACGGAAGGTCAAGAAGGATACAAAAAGTGTCACCTGCTGTGCTGATAAGCGAGAAATAACGATGACAACCGATCCAATAATAACGTGCCGGACAGAGTAGAAAAGATCAGCGTGTCTCACTATCAAGCTCCTGTGGGCAGTACAACATGGAGGTAAGCTAATCGCAACTGATATACACAAAGCCAAGCCAAAAGTAACTCACAATAAATGGATACTCATTTGCGTGCTTTGATCTTCTGTCATGATTTTTTTCAGCGCTGCGGCAAGTGCTTTCTATTGGGGAGAAAGAAGGAGAGGACAATTTCATTCAGAGATCTTCCAAAAGTTATGTACCTACTTAAAAATGATCTCCAAGTTTTAATGTAATGGTAACTAAGGCTACCGCATTGGTGATACCTTCAGCAGAAGTGGTAAATATCTCATCGATAACAACCAAGAAAGGCGCTTTGGGCCATTTCTGACTTCCCTGTCTAAAATTGACAGCTAGCAATGCGTACGTGCTAACGTTTCGACTGCAGGTGACAAACACACTGCCTAATTCAGTAGGCAGATTGCCCAGGATGACAAGAAATTGAAGTAAAGCGAGCACCAATCAAGCATTACAGTGTCACTGACAAATTCTTCCCAATCAAAACTTGCAACGCTGGATTGAGTGCCATTACTAGACGTCTCGTATTTGTTTCGTGGAAAATTACCTGCTCTTCGAGTCCTGTAACCCAGGCAGGTAGAAGGAGGTCGAGAGAGGGATTGACCATCTTCTT